ACTCTGGCCATTTGATAATACCTAGAATATCAAAATCAACTGCGGGCGGCAGATCCTTTTCCTATTTAGCGGCCAAACTCTGGAATAACCTACCTAACATTGTTCGGGAGGCAGACACACTCTGTCAGTTTAAATCTAGATTAAATACACATCTCTTTAACCTGACTTACACATAACACACTAACACATTTCTAATATTCAAATCCGTTAAAGGATTTTTAGGCTGCATTAATTAGGACAACCGGAACCAGGAACACTTAGAACACCCGATGTACTTGCTACATCGTTAGAAGAATGGCATCTACGCTAATATTACTCTGTTTCTTTCTTATTCCGAGGTCACCGTAGCCACCATTTCCACTACGTATCCAGCCCAGATGGTGGATCAGCACCTAAAGAGGATATGTACAGCCCTGAATGTCAGCGGAGATCAGGACAAGTAGATGAGCCCCAGAGACAGATCCCCAGTGAAGACCTTGTCTACTAGATGGCCACCGTGACAAGACCACAGTAACAAGTTGAGTCCTCTGCACAATGTGACTTTGCTGCAGCCCTTTATTTGAACTGCTGGTTTCGTCTGGTCAAAGGAGAACTGGCCCCCCGACTGAGCCTGGTTTCTCGTCGACTTGATTGCACAGATACTATTTAAAATGAACTGAGCTGGATGATGACATCACTGAATTCAATGATGAACTGCCTTTAATTGAAAATCGAGTGTTTACTATTGTCATTTTGCATTATTGACACACATTGGCAACATGCTTTTAGTACCAGTCCCACGTTGAGGAACTCTGGCTTCTTCCAAGGTAGAAGAACATGTAGCCCTCAGTGCGTGACTCCTACTACCCTGATGGAATGCACATGCATTCAAGTGTATATTCTTTTTCTTTATGATGGAAGTCAACCAACAATTCCAAGAAAGGTACTTGAAAGTCTAGAAATACCAGTCAAGATCTGTGGAGAATTGAAAGATTTCCTCATAGCTGAGGAAATCTTTGTTCTTTATTCCTTGTAAGTTTACCATAACACATTACCTTTTTTAATAGCTTAAGAGCTAAACTATGTTTATGTAGCCCGGTTCCCTGAAAGGGGAACAAAATATTGCATCAGCTTTCGATGCTATGGGAATGCTTCCATGTGAGCTGGTGTCTGAAGCACATATCTATTGTAAATATACTAATCCAATTGGCAAGATGTTTGGATGTCATGACGTAGCATAACATAACATTGAATCCATAAACAGATGCCTGAAATGCGCACCAAACACATTAATTTGTCTGAAAAAGATGCACAGGCGTAGCCAGGGAATGGCAACGTGATACAGCATCTCGTCCCCTCTCAGGAAACCATTCCAACTTCTCCATGACCAAGGCTGTGTGTAGGCACAGACACTTACTGAACACAAACTGTACTTCAGATTACCCCCGAAGGACTCTAGATCCTGGGCTCCAATCCACATCAAGACTGTGGAACCTGATGAATATATGCAAAGAGGGCCATCCTGTCACAACACAAACATCTTGTAAGGGTGCAGCCCTAGCAAGGGCTTTGGAAGGTGCGAGACTCCAAATGGAATGGGCCCTGTCCCCTAGAAGCAAACCATGTGCCTCAAAGGACCAAGTAGGCCAGGGGTAGGCAAGTTTGGTCCTAGAGAGCTGCAGTCCTGCAGAGTTCAGGTCCAACTGTGGAAAACAAACTCAATTGTCTATAGCCTTAGTAATCCTAAAGACATTAATTAGGTTGTTCAGGTGTGTCTGACTAGGGATGGAGCTGAACTCTGCAGGTATGCGGCTTTCAAAAACAGAACTTGCCTACCCCTGAACTAGGCAGTGAGCTGGGTTCACTTCATGCTCTCTGCACCATGATATGAACAGTTGTCATTTCATGGCATACAACTAGCAGAAGGAGCTCAATAGAGGATTGTCTCAGTGGCTTCAGCCAAAAGGCCTAAAAGCCAAAAGTCTAAAAGCTTATACTATTCAGAGGTCAGACCCAAAGTTCAATTCAGTCCTGATCAACCCTTGCTAAAACTGCTGAGAGAAGAGTTATCAGTCCCAATGGAGCTGTGTGAGGGTGACCAGTGTTGCACGATGCTATTTGTATTGTTAGAAAATACATTTAAATTTGACATGAACTTTAATTAAAAAACTTAAATATTTATCTGTACCTTATGTAGCTGAGCCCTATGCGGCCCAGTACAATTTACCAATAATTTTGACCCCAATCCAGGGATACATACAATTTAAAAAATTCCCTTTTATTTTTTTCCAACTGCATCTTTGGTAAGTACTTTTATAATCGACTTACTAGACTTTTTGCTCACTCCACGTTAAGCAGAGCTGAAAATAGTGGCTTTCATTAAGATACTAACTAACTAACTAACTAAATATTTGAATAATACATTTACAAATCTTATTTTTATACTGACACATTTGTAGTTATTTCAAACCTTGAAAAATGGCTGTATAACTGGTTTTGTTTTTAGTGAAAGTGTTGATATAAATAGAAGGTTGTGCATAGACCTCAAAACTGCACACACAAACCTTGAATCTCGTGCCACATGCAGGCAGGGGCATTTCTGCAGTTGTTTGAGACAATTGGAGTTTGAATGCACCACACCCTCTTTTGTCATACACGTCAATGTGGTTAGTCCATTTCAAGTCATTCAACTTTACATTCCATATTTTGTCTTTAAACCTACCCTCATGTACAAATACACAGATTTTACAGGGCAAAATACTATTTTCCTTCAGGGTTATAATCTGATTTATGATCAGGTAATGCATGTTACATGACAAAACTGGTATCATTTGAAGCAGAATGTCCTGTTTTGTTATATAAGCTCAAAATATTGTGGACAGTGTGTGAGTTGAGTATTACTGAGAAAATGACTAACATGTACACACATACTGACTAAGGATTATTATTTTCAACATGTTTAATGTGTTTCTTCAAAAAAAAAAAGTTCAATGATTTTTTTTATAAACGTAATTATTATTATTTATTTTTTATTAAAAATATTACAAATATTTTAGCTTTTTAAACAAATGCTTAAAATAAAATAGGGTGGAGGTGGGGGGGGGGTAGTTAATAATGCATTGTGGTTAATAATGCTATTATGATTAAGAAAAAAATGTATTCATTTTAATATTTTGATAAAAATAGAGTTTTGATCAACACATCTCATCAGCTTAGACTTGTCATACTTCTTTTCTTTGTTTTTAATCACCTGTAAAGTTTTGTAATGCTCAGTTGTTCAAAATATTTTAGAACGCAAAATATTTTACTTGAAAAGGTTTACTGGAGAAATATCCTTTTACATCATATAATACTAGTTCTGATCATTATCTGATATTAGTATTCATTCAGTTATTTATTCCCAAAAATGTGTCAGTTGACTTATGATATAAACAAAAAGGAAATTCCTTAAATATTTTCCTTCCAGAAATACTCTTTAAAAAAAAAAAAAACATTCCAAAAACGTTCCAAAACATTCCTCATCTAAATGAATGAAAAGAAGAGGCTGGACCAGCAAGAGAGTATAAATGAAGGCTTGGTTTAACCATCCTACTCAAGGAACACCCTCTCAGGCTCAACTAGGTAATGGCATCATATAACAATTAACAATATAATACTCTACATCATGAATAAATAATCTTAAATGTTTTTTTATTATCTATACATATATTTATTTATTTGTGAATACAGTAAAAAGAGATATGTTTATTTTTAAAAACAAATGATAATTTAGCACTATTTGATGTCTTAAAAATAGCAATCTACAATTGTCCATCTAGATTCTCAGAGAGCAGTGGACAGATAACAATCCAAAATGCTGCATCATTTTCTGGTACTCTCTGCCCTTTGTGCCATGAGCATGACCATGCGTGAGTATTACTAACTACTAAGCTCAATACAAATATGGTCCAATAAATAAATCAACACTGACTAACTGATTATGCATCAAGTGCTTACTGTTATTTTGTACCACACTGTTAGAATTAGGCATTAAAAGTAGCATAACAATGGATTTTTGAGCTGTATAACTAAAACAGTCAAAATAAAGGTTCCAATTAAAAAAAAAAAAAAAAACAGGTGATCACTTACATCTGATAATCTATTACCTTTTCAGCTTTACCTGATTTTTACTCATACTCCCCTGCTGCTGGGGATGGCAGTGGAACCGAATTTTCCACTGCACACGAGGGTCGCATCACTGGAGTCAGAGTTTATGAATATCCCCACTATGGATACTACTACAACAACTACCTCAATGGGTAGGTTTCCCCAAACACCACTAGACAGTCACACACTGGATAACATCTTCTTATCAAGTCTATAAGAACCTGATCTGTCGTAATTATTATACTTGTTACCTCACATAAAACCATTTTGCCACAAATTATACACTTTATATTTCAAACAGCATATTTAACATTCTATTTTCTGTTTTTATATTCTGTCTTGTTTTTTAATGGTCTAGTTGTATGATATTTAGCTCTGAATTATTTAAAAGTAATATGCATACTTTATCTGTTTTATCAGTAAAAGTAAAGCGCATATTTATCTGTTTAGGATCCAGCTGAGATATAACAGTAACTGGACAGAATTGGTTGGCGTGAACTCGTATGGCAATGAAAAAGAGATGAAACTCTTCAACAATGAACATTTTGTTCAGATCTCAGGAAAGTATTATTCTGGTTACATCAGTGAGCTTATGTTTGTCACTAACGAGGGGCGCTCCTTTAAAGTGGGGCAGCCTTACGGAATTTCATTCAACTTCTACCCAACCCACGATGGAAGTGAACTACGCTTCATCAGCGGTCGTCAGAATGGATTTGCCCTCACCTCCATTGGGGCTCATTGGGCTGTCTATGACAATTCCACTTCATAATGTCAGAAATATCTCACTGGTTACACATTATGTGTGTATGTGAGGAAAAGGCCAGTTAACAAGTAGCGTGTTTTTCCTGAGCTCTTTATGAGGGATGAGATTTTGGCACTTTTTTGAACTGTCAGCATTATTAGAATGATTTCTGGTTAATAATTTACTGATCAATTAATTAAACACTAAGAAGACTGGAATGAAATTGTTTTATCCCTAATGATGCTTTAAGGGCTTATCCTTTAACACAATGATTCCTAAAGGTTCTTGTAACAATGATTTTATCCTGAATATGAATTTTTTTTTTTTTTTCAGGTACTTTTATTACACATGGCTGATTTTTATTCAAGCTAACGATTAAACTTAAAGTGTTGAAGTTGATTTTTATTTAAAACAACTGATAAACATTTTTGTTATACGAAGATCACAATAAAACTGCCTTATTAAAACATTTGCCATGGCTTTATCATTTATTTTTGCCATTTTTATGTAGCCACCTTTTTCTTTAATGCGGAAGTAAGCCTGGGTGAGACTTCTGGTTCATTATCCACTATAGGGAAATAACGAGAATAATAACAACGTGCAGTAAATGGTAAAACTGTTAGCACTACAAACCAATGTGCTCATAATTAAGATAATACATTACAATAATATGGTAAGACACACCAATTTGCAATATCATGCAGCAAAACGAGCTGTTTTGTACAGCTAAAAATAGCTGGATGCGGATGAGACCGAAAGCCAGGCCGATAAAATGTACAAATGGCCACGCCCACTCTTACGGGAAAAAAAGAGGTGGATAGATTTTATTGTTTTTACCCTTGACCCAAATTTTTTATCAAACTTTACAAATTCATATAAAAATTAATTATTACATATTTAAAACTATGGCAATGTTAACCAAGTATGAACTAAACAACGAATCATTTCAATATTTATTGTGTGACCAAAAAATTTTTCCAAAACCATGACTGCCATACAGCTGTGTTATCATTTAATGACATTGGTTCAGGTTTGTTGAAAAACAAGATGGCAATCTTAAAGCAAACTGTGCAAAATTAGTTGCGTAGACAATCTTGCAGATTTTTGCAGTACACTGGCAATCTCAGAGGCATGTCAGTTCAAAAAGGTGGAAGTCTCATAGATATTACAGGCAGTAGTAGTGACACATGCACTGGCTGTTTCCGAGACAGTCTCAGATAGAGTCCCAGATAGAGTCCCACAGACAGTCCCAGATAGAGTCCCAGAGAGAGTCCCATTAGACAGGCAATGGTAGTCTCAGAGGCAGGACATTGCTTTCAACATTGCACTTCCTGTGCACTTCACTTCTGCAAGAATTCTCTGCCGTAAAGAACAGGTGGTGTCAGTTTCAGAAGCAGTGCCAGTCTGAGAGGCGATGTGAGTCTCAGAGATGGTGGAAGTCTCAAATACTGTGGCAAAAGAAGAGGGCAGAAACGTATACTGTTAAATTCACTTCCATATAATGGTTATTTCGATTAAAAAGCGGAGCTAGTTCTCAAAAGAGCATCTTCCTTATCAAGAATGATTGCAAGGCCTAAAAAAGCAATTAAAAACAACTTAGCTTGCTGCACAACATTTACATAGTGCACTCATTAAGACACATTTGATGAAGATGATTAACAAGTAATAATTAATAATTCTTACATTTTAAAATGAATAATTTACTTAATTTACTTGAATATATGCTCAAATGGACAAATGACACAATGACTATCTTATTGCAACCTGCCTCGACAAACATTTTCCTTTCAATGATCTCTTAGTGATTACTAAGCATGTTGTGTTCATATAACAGCAGCAGCAAGTGGTTTATCTAGTTCATGTATGTGAGAATACAACTTAGAACAGAACAGTAAAGTGAATTGGGGATTACCATAGTTGTCCAAAACCTCCTCTGCTTTTGTGTGGTAAAGTTCAGGTTGGTTTCATGTTGGGTATTCGTCGGACATTCGCCGAGCAAATTAAGGGACTGTCTCAAAAGTGCATGAAAATGATAAAAAGATATGCATTCCAAGATTCGAAAACATGCAAAGCATCATACAATTAAATGTAAAGATGTGAATTAATCCTTAAATGCATATCTCGGGTCTTTAGCGACCCAGCACATCACTCTCTACCCTCTCCCTCATTCATTTTTTTAAGTTAGACATCAACTTTCTTAGTATTCCTCAATCTATTCATTATAAACAATATAACAAGAAAAAAAATAGTAAAATATAAAAGAATGCCTGTTTTCTGATTAATTTTTTTGTAAAAAGTGTATAGGGTCGCTACAGACCCGAGGTATGTAAATGTGTTAGTATTTTTTCCTGCTCGACTATATTTACATATCTGATAACTCAATTTGTGCAATGCATCTTTTTTCCTCAAGGTGATTGATACACAATGATGACGTGATGTTTCACTCATTACCGCAGGCATAATACAAACGAATATCATCAGCAAAAATTGAACTGGTTTAAATGGCTTTACTGTAGAGCAAATACTATACGCAATGAAATATAAATGTCACTGTCATTTGATGCTGGATCTGGTGAATAAGCTGCCAGTGATCAAAATATTGAATATGAAGTCATTGAAAACGATAGTTTTGAGAATATGGTTGAGATTGAATGTGAGGCAGATGCTGAATGTACTGTGGATGGTGAACTGTCACATGTACTGAATGTACTGTCACTCTGAGGTAACGAAATATGCTTTATTTTATTCTTCTGTAATTGTTCTTAAAATATCAAGATAATTTTTTGCTATTGCAGCAGTTAGAGTTCCATCCGTGCTGGATATATAGGTCCAGGTCCTAAAGACCCGAATATGTAATAATTATTGGCGAAACATTCATGCATTTAAGAGTTAAGTGGAAAAACATTAATACAATATTTTTAGCTATGAATGGGATATTCACTATGAATTGTTACATTGTTATTACAATGCATTCCAACATTTTCTTTTAACTGGTAGAAAAAGGTGTTGTTATGGTATCTGTAGTATATTCAGTAACACTTCTAACACATCATACATGACTTGGATTTTGGAAATATGATTTTGTGTAAGCTATTTTTGGTGAATTTTTCAAATATTCATATTATATAACTTCCTGGTCATGTGACCTCATATTGCAACACCCACTGTATTATAATCATAAACATTTGTCACCTCTCATGCAGTTGTTTGTGGAAATATGTCTTTAGTTGTTTTAAAATAGTTTTTTTTTCAATCATTTATATATATATATATATATATATATATATATATATATATGTTTTAAGTCAGTTATTTACATTTTTAAACATTAATTTTGCCATTAATTGTAATAATCCAGTGAGATTTTTGTTTGCACAAGGAGTCAGTGCTCCACACAGAGATCTGATCTCATCATCATCCAGTCTGTCTGGAATGACATGAAGAAACAGAACAAAC